GGGCTGGAGGAGCCGCTGTGCTGCCGGTTCGCAGCGCTCTGGCACAGCCCGTGGGGGTCCGCACGCCGCCAGGCCCAGGCTCAGCCCAGGCAAGCTGCCAGGCTCCCCGTGCAGGGACCCTGCACCGGCCCAACCCACGGAGCAGGACCCCGGGAGCAGACAGACCCCTCTGAGAGGCACAGCCCAGCCTGTCAGCACCCCCTCCTCAGCACACACAGCTCAACAGGGAGGGGAGAGGAACCACAGCACGAGAGAACACAGCCCACAACAGCTCCCCACCAAGGAAAGCACATAAGCTTAAGAACATTATTTTTAGGATGGGAAATACCAAATTATTTCTCTATATAGTTATTACGCCAACAAGATCTGGAATTGAAGCAGCATCAGTCTTGCCTAGTAAATTATGCAACAGCACAGTTTTTGTTTTGTCATGGAAAAAAGGAAAGAAAAAAAATCCACTGAACAACAAACACTACCTTCCTTCTTGAGATAGAGAATTCCTTCTCACATTGCTTGCAGTGTGTTGCTTCGTCATCCTTCAGCCAGGTATGACCCTGGAAAATTGGAATGAAAACCTCGCCATATATACAACTGAATTTATAAAATAAAATTCAAAGGCAGTTTACTAATGTTGCTGGTATTTTTCAAAAGCCATTTTTTAAAGTAGGATAATGGTGAAATTTGAAGGTGTTACATGAAATGCATATGCTTAGTCAAAATATCCATGAGATGCAGAGTACCTTTAGCGCTTTATTTACTTCTTTAATATCTTCCATCTTCAACTTTGATCTGGAAAAAAAAAATCCCTCTGTATGAAATACATTTGGTTGTGTTCAGTTTTACCTGCCACTGCACTGTCCAGCCACTGAATCTAAACTCTTAATTCTTCAGTCTGCTCCCTCTTACAACGCTGAAAATGAAACTTTGTCACCTTGGGGTTTGGCCCCTGTTCAGTACATACAGAGTGTGGGAAAAGCACAGTTCCACTGCAGGAACTTTACTGTATTGTTTCCTAGCTCAGCCAGCTTACTCATGCAAGGATCTTCCCTCACTTTTATTTCATGGCTGTTCAGTTTCCTATGTAATTGCCTCCTAAAATCCTTAAGCTTACCGATTTCTATAACTGGATACATTTTAAAATTATTTGAATTCATTTGATACTCCATCCTCCAGGTTACGTCACTCACAGGAGTTCAGTTCCAGAACTTACTGGCTGAGATGAAGTCCCATTTCTTGAAGAGCTTGCTCCTGCTCCTCACAGACTTTCTCTAACTGCTGCTTCTCATCTTGCAGTTTTCTCAGTTCCTATAAAATCAAGCACAAAATCAAGTTTTCAGTGTGCTGTTTGACCTATAAGCTAGATCAGTCTGTCCAAACTACTCAAGTGGTTCACAAGAATAAGCTCCTTTACAAAGCTATGTATTTCTAAGGCCTGATTTTTACAATTACATTGGTGAACTATCCATGGGCTCTTGTAGAGCACAAACAACAAAATCATTTAACCATATTTTCCAGAAAGAGAGGAAGATTCAGGCTTTAAACTCCTTGAGCATAGCTCAAATGCAGCAGCCCTGTCCCCACACAAGAGCGTATAGACCCAGACTATAAAACTGTTCGATACACAGGAGCAAATTCTCTTCAGATTAATATGAATGTTCATGCTTAAAAAATAAATTGCATTGAGTTGTTTTCAATGCTTGAAAACGTGTTCTTACTTTATTACATAGACTTGGAAGTCCTCACACAAGTTCTCAACTTGCCATTTCCTACCTGAGCAAGGGTATCTCACCATGGGACAGCTGATGAGCTTTCTGTCCCCAGCTATCCCATCTCAGCTTCTGCTGCTGACTGACGCGCTGCTCACACACCTGCACAGCTACGCAGCGCAGACAGAAACCTCCTCAGCCACCTCTGGCTAAGCTGCTCTCATTGCCTGAGCCCTCTATTGGCATTTCGTGTGAAGACTTGTGTTATGTCAGCCAAGCTTTTCAAACTACTCAGAGGAGAGCGGTACATGAAATGCTCTACCACAGATGCAAACGCTGCCCGGGTTCTAAGTCAGCTTTAATCCTGAACACTGGGCACGTTTGTACTGTGCATACCTTTTTCAGTCCTTCCATTTGTTGCAATTCTGTTTTAAGCAGAGTGGCAGCATCCTTCTCTTGGTGTAGTTCTCTTTGCAAAGTTTGTCTTTGTTCCTTTTCAGATTTTAACTCCTTTTCCAGAGTTGAGCTATTTAAAAATAGTTAATTCTAAGAAACCTTACAGCAGAAAAGTATGCTATAGTGCTTAAGGATAGCAACAGTATGAGAAGATGAAACCTTGTCCAAAAGAGGGGAAAAACTAGAGTGGTGTCTGGGAAAGAACAGGGATGTTATGGCAGCAGACATTAAAAACTGAATTAGTATTTTCAGGTCACAGAAAACAAGTAGCAAGAAGAAAAAACAATCCCCACAAGTACATATTTGACTACCTGTGTTTAAACAGCCATGTCTGAAAAGTGACACTCTACTCTGAACTGTGAAAAAAGCACTTTCTGTAAGTATTAGAAAACTTTGGAGGATTCTCTAAGAACACCAGGATGCTCCCCAACCCCCAAAACCCACTTACATGCTCAGCGTACAAGCATGACTGTATCTGTCTCCTCACTTAGTATAAAAAGTGATTGAAAGCTCCATTGCTAGTCAGAATGACCAGATTTCTACTGGTACTCTGTGCTCTCAATTAGATGTTCTGGAAAAAGCATTTCAAAATCCTCATTGTATCTGTGCACCTTGCACACTTCTGTTAATACTTGCTTAAACCCAATAAAATTCAAATCTACCCCTCTTTAGACCTTAGCACAAAAAAGAGTATAAAGCACTTCTTAAAGAAATGGCAGAAGGGAAGGAAAAAAATCTGATCAGATGAAATACCATTTGCTATCCATCTGGGACATCTGTTGTCGACAAGTGTCAAGCCTGCCAGCAAGCTCTTGCTTCATCTTGTTGCATCTTTCTTCCGCAGCCTGCCTTGCGTTTTCTGCCTGCTGCAATCTACAAAGTAAGGAACATGTACCTTTGTTGTCAATTCATGTATTCCTTACCTACACCCTCTCATTTTGTTCTTTAGATTTACCATACAGATCTTTACAAAGGCTTGAACTGAAAATGCTAGTGGAGAAAAAATTGACTTTTGAAAGAAACTGTTTCTGCAAAAAACCCAAAAGTGAGAGTCATACCTGTTCTTAAACTAAAGTCAATATGTTTTTAAACTGCCTGCCTATGGGAAGAGCTGTGGTTTTCAAATGGGTCAATTATGGGAATGTTTGCCTGGAAAAAGAGAACAGGCAAGCACAGAAAGCGATAAGGAGGAGAAAGGAAAAAGAATGTCATGCTGGTACACATGTGCAAATGTCTACGCTAGGTGTATGGAAGGTCATCCTATACAGGTTTCAGCTGGAAACTTTCTGCTGCTTTCAGTGTTGACTTTTTGAGCTTGTAACTATTACCTCTCTTCCATTTGTTTCATGGAGGACATGATCTCATTTGTTTTCCCTTCAAAAGAAGATATGGCTTCTGTTTTCTGTTGTAATGAAGACTCTGCATTCTGTCAGAATAAGTGAATAGATATTCCAGGTAAGACATTTTAGTTTTTTAAAGCACAAAGTGTTAGTGCTTAATGAAAGTCTGCCACTAGATAAAGAATGTTTAGCTTGTCAGAGGCCATGCCTGAGTCTAAGTGGAATGTACAAATAAAATGCTGATAATGCCAGACCAGACACTGCCCCACTTGTTTTATTAAGAGCTCAGAAAAAAAACCTAACTATACTGAGTTTTGACCTACAAGATCAGCTACAAGCCAAAATCTTCTCTTTAGAAATTATCTTCAAGAAAGAAATTATCAGATTAAAGTAAGAATATAAATTATGTTACTATCGTGATTTGAATGTAACAGCTGCACTGAGTGGGCATGGAACCAGGAAGCTAAAAAAACCCAAAATTAATACTGCTGTTGAAAGCAAAGGCATACCTCAGCACTGGGGCTTCACTGGCCATTGCTGTGCAAGTTTCTGTGCATCTGTGAAGGAGGCAAAAGCCTGGATAAAACCTGAACAGGTGCCAGGAAACAGTCGATAAAAACTGAGAGAAATCCTCTCTGGATTTCTGGCACCAGATATGGGAGGGGCAGTCTAGTTAAATTCCTGCGCCATGATTATTGTGTAAAAAACATCACCACAGCTGCTCTTTCTATTCTCCACTATGTACCCACCTGAGATTTGTGAAACATCTGCAAGTTAATAGCCTTCACTTCTTCTAACTGTTGCCGAAGTGCAACCAAGGTGTCTTGTTTTTCATGAGTATCTTTTTCCAGAAGTTTCATGGCAATTTCCATTTCTGTTTTCATTCCAATCTGTAACTCCAACTCTTTCTCTAGTTCCTTACAAAGAGATTTCCTAGTTACTGCTATGTAGTCATACATCAGGGATAAGTATTTCTAAAACCCATATAACGCCTCCCCCCCCCGCCCCCGCCAAAGAAAACATGTATTACTCTAAAATAATACTAAGCTATGATTTTACAAAATCATTATTTACAAATAATACCATAAATTAGCAAGACCAGAATACCATTTCAGCTCTCCAGATCACACCAGCAGATCTGTATGTACCCTTGCCCTGAAGTGTAGAGCTCAGTGTGTAACTCAGCAGCCTGTCAAATTAATATTCCTCCTGGCAGCTGGAGTTGGGTTGACTTAAGAGCCATTGGCTTCAGCTAGCCTGGGCAACTTCCTCACCAGTTACTAATTAACATTCAGTTATTTGTTCATTGTTGAAGTGACTGTTGTACATATACCATATTTTCCTCCATAAAGACAGTTGCCTTTCTTTGTTTTTATCTTAGTCTCTGCTATAATAATCTTGGTAGGTTCTTAAACAGGGGAAGACTTTTTATTTTCAGCATTTCAAAAGCCCAGATTTCCATTTCTTTACAGACACTGTAAATAACAAATGTCCAGCACCTTGCTTGCAAATCCATTTTGAATTCTGAATAGTTGCAAAAAGTGCCCAGCATATATCTTATACTTGTATTGCTGCCTTAAAGTAGGCACAATCCTATATCTTTCATTTCACTTTTTATAGTTAATTTCCTTACCTGCCTAATTTTTTTTTCTTCTTTCAACTGCTTCCAAACATCACTGTACATCTCATCAAGACCCTGGCGTGACTGCTTGTAAGTATCCAATTCTACTTTTGTATCCTCTTTTGTTACCTGTAAGAAAGATCAGCAAAAAAAAGACACGTAAGACTGCAAAATTTAGGTATTTAAAGTATTCTTCTGTGCTATTTCAAGCAAGATCCTACTGTTTTACAAATAAGCTGGCAAATATTAATAAGCTGAAATGTCAAAGAACAGACTAAAATCAAAAGAAACCACTCTAACACTTTCAATGCTGCCTCCCTTCTGCAAGTACTTAAGTGTGTAGTAGAGAATGGCAAAATCTAATGTCTGTGCATACTATACACAAAACCAGTGATCTACAGAGCAGCACACTGAACTGTACTCAGCATCCAGTTCAACGTGCTTTGGAAACCACTAACTCCAGTTGTTCAAAAGAGATCACTTAGTCTAAGGATCCTCATAATCTTTAAAAAGGCATCCCACCTCTACACTTTTTTCACTCCGTTCCCGAATTAATTCATTTTGTTGTTTTAACTGCTGCTGCTCTTCCTGAAGTGATCCAATTCGGTCAGTTGCTGCTGCAAGCTGTTTACAGAGAGAACATATCTATATTTAATCACTGTACGAGCATGCAACATCTGGAGAAATTCTAAAGTTAGTAGCTCAGCCTTTGTAGCAGGTGCGCTCCTCACTTCCCTTTTTGGCCCTTTTATTCTCCCCAGAAGCTGCCTGACCCTTTTGCAGCCATGCTTGCTGTACAGCTTAAATTAATAAGCCCACCAACATTTGTTCACTTGACTTCTGCTTCATGTCGTCATAGCAGGTGTGCTCCTCACTTCCCTTTTTGGCCTTTTATTCTCCCCAGAAGCTGCCTGACCCTTTTGCAGCCATGCTTGCTGTACAGCTTAAATTAATAAGCCCACCAACATTTGTTCACTTGACTTCTGCTTCATGTCGTCATCAATTAATTACCTTTTGATATTAGCTGTGCAACAAAATGCGTCAGTGTAAAAGGCTAAAACACATCAGGGATCTGTGATATTTGTTCTGGTATGGACTAGAAGGCACACAGCAAGTCAGGGCTGACATTCCCTGGTGGAACCTTACAGCATTTTCAAGTAGAGATACCCTAAAAAGTACTGGAAACTGGACTACATAGGTACAGTCAGAACTCTTTATATATAAAAAATAAAACACCACCACCACCAGAAAAACCAAAACAACCACTATCATGCATGCTGCTGGATTATATTTCAGTTCCCAGCTAGGAAAGATTTACTAATTGAAGTGTGGTTCTTTTCCTTCTCTTTTTTCCAAGTTCTGTTTAATTCACATGACAAATACATACACGTGTATGTGCAGGAGGAAGAGGGACAAATCATGCTCATTATATTGGTATGAATACTTCTGGGTGGAAACACCATTGCAACATAAAAAACTTGACTAAAGAAACCCATCTAACAAATAGGTGCCCAGAAGTATTTTATCAACAAAGATAACTTAGAAGCTTTCCACAGAGCTTTCCCCATGTGCCAATTCATGCCACTCCTACCAACCCCTCCATACTTCACTACTATAAACTCAAATCTTAGGTCTAAGGTATATTCTTAGGGAGTCTTCCCTCTGATGGAGAACAGCTACAACAAATATTTAACAGAGCAGACACAAACCTCTTCCTGGAGTTTTGAATTGGTCTTTTCTAAACAGTCTATTTTGTTCTGAAGATCTGCAACTGTGCAACTGCAGCAAGAAAGAGATGCATAAAAACAATAAAAGAAGTGCCAATGTTCAAAATTTATTCCTATCCTCAACCATACTTTTACCATCTTCTATTTGTTAACAATGAAATAGTTTGGGGAGCTGGCAAAAAACCCAGAAGAAGGATAATTGTCCCTCTTAAGCTCTGAGAGGACCATGCATTTCCCTATTTGGCAACCTGCTGTAGTAGTTGGTAGCCCTGTTCTATCTGAGTTTTTGCAATCTTAACACCTCTGTGATGTTCAAGAGGGTAAAGGAGGCTTGCTCCTTCCACTGAGCAACCTATGCCGGAGGAACACATTCTTCATCTAAGGAATGAATTTCCAGCTGCACTTGTAATAGTTCTCTCTTGAAAAAGTATCCCCCAAATCTTCTTTTAATCACTACCAAGTCTCAAAAAAGTCAACTATTATTACACAGACTTGTTTTCTGCATTCCATATGCCATCAGAAGAGTAAGATTACAAAATGAACTAAGATTTTGGGAAATAATCAGAAAAGGCATTTCAATATCAGACAAAAATCTGCAAGACTGACAGCACAGACATTCAAAGCCATACTGCAAAAGCTAAACAGGACAAGTGTTTGTACATTACAAGACATGAAAATCCCACCTTAGATGTCGGTTAAGTTCTTCTACGTAATGCTTCTGGTCAAGGACAGCTGTGATCCCGCCATCTCTAGTTGCAAAAGTGAGAAATCATTGATTGAGAAGAAACTCCTTCATTCTAAAGTGTTAGTCTGTACTAGGCTTTTCAGCATAGACTTGCAAACTAAGTTGAAACCTTTCCCCTTTTTCTTATAAAAATATTGGTACATTTTTTACTCCAAAACTGATCTCCCCCACAAAGACAGATACTTAATTGAGAGCGTTTCTGAAACAGTGTTCAGAAACAAAGGAGTGATTCAGCAGTGGGTGACCTGGCTGGTCATGTCTCCTAAAACCCAATAAGAACACAACCTAAAATTCTGGGTGCTTTTAATTTGGTCCCAGGTTAAGACACAGACTCTCCACACTGTGTTGTTGTTAAAACTACCATGGGTTCAACCTTTGAAAGTTAGTACTTTAATTTAGCTACAAAAGCTATTTTGAATTCTCTTCTTTGGATGATTAAAAGTTTGAGATGTCTATCACTCGTGCTCCCACAGACTGTCTGACAGGTTAGCTCTACAAAAACCAGAACAATTTAGAATCGCTAATTCACCATACATACTGTTTGTCATCACTGTCCTGTGTTTCCTTAAGGTACAAGGAAAAATCAATCACTCCAACCTGAAAAATACATGTAAGATATTAACACACCTTCACAGTGCAGTTCTGCATAGCAGCAGGCATTACTTTATATTTGGAAAAAGGTAAAAATCTGAAGCGTAAGTTTAGAGAGACAGATAATGCCTATATTTTTCCAGCTCAAGCAAATGTGCAAGCTAGCGCTTGTCGTAAAAGCATCAAAATAACCATCTTCAGTGTGCTCAGCTTCCTAGCAGTTATTAGTTTTGACAGCACTTCCAGAAACTGCTACTTAAAGAGATGGATACTTATATACTTTTTTTTTTTTTTACTTCAGTGTGGGAAACATGACAAGCTTCAACACAGGACATTCTGGATAGAATTCTGGACCCATCTCAGTAAAGTATTTATGGATGTGCTTAATGCTACTAGAGTTTGACACCAGCTGATCATACTTAAGCTTTAAACTTCACCTGGGAATCCAAGTCTTCTCCTTTCAAGCAAAGGTTTGCATCGATAACATTCAGCCCAACTAGCAGACCCACAATGACTGCTCCTTCCTCCTCCATCATCAACGCATCTGGTTCATAAAATTCACTAGAAGAAATATTGTAAGGCATCACTGCACATCAAACAATAATAATGGTACTTCCATCACTGAAATAATATAAACAGTAATGTAGCCCTTAGAAAGCTCAGCTGATCAGCCTCTCCTCACTAGTTTATTGCACAGGACAGAAGATGCAGGACTCTCACTGAAAAATCTTTACTTGTTCCTCTGTAGGTTCATTGCAAAAACAATGAACAACTTGCTCCTCTGAAGGTTGCAAGAACAAGCTTAAAGTTAAACTGGTCAATTAATGACCTTTTACTACAGCAATGCAAGGTTTCAGTGATTCAGTGAATACAATTGACATATGTCTGTACTGTTACCTTAATAGATGCTTATGGTCCAAGAGTACTTTGAGATAATCTGCCAGTTTCTTTTGCATGAGTGCTAGATAAAGCCAAGCCCTTCCTCTTCCCACAGCAGTCCTAAAATTAAAAGTTACATGCTTTGGTAAAAACAAAGCATTTTATTAAGATTATTAGATTTGTGCAATACAAAATTCTCCCTTTAAAAATGGAGATAGAAGTTGTTATTTACTAAAAAATAAATTTAAAAACCCTGGGGAAATTAAGTGTTGTCTTCAGAACACAGAAGAATTTAAATATATCCCATTGCTTCAGTGAAGGGAAAGTATATTGTAAAGTCTTCCTAACTTGGAAAGACATACATATTTTCAACTACCACCATAACCCAACTATTGATACATCCTAGCACTAAAACTAGTCTCTTTCCATCATCATGAATTACCCAAATTAACTACTACTAGCACATGCCCAAAATGAGACAAAGCCATAAAAGCCTGGGAAAGAAAATAAAATATCTGTGAAGAGTTTATGGTTATTTTTAGTAAGGTTATTGAAGTCTCCAAATGCTGTTTTTAATCAGACAGCATTGTTTGAACCAGAAGCACTGAGCATTTTGAGACGTCTTTCTTAGAGAAGTCAATGCCTCCTACATACCACATTTTTCTCTTTGGAAACAAGGACTCATTAAGGAAGGCAAAAGACTACACAAAGGCTTTTTTTTCCCCAGCAGTGTAAGTGAAATGCATCATCCCCAACAATCAACTTACTTCAATTCTGGCAGATTTTTAACACTAGTTGCTATATCTGATGCTTCAGGACAAAGTTTTTCCACTAGCTCCAAAGGACCAAAAAATGATTTGTTCTGTCCAATAAAAGTCTTCTTCACTAGAAGGAGTAGGCAGAGAAGTTCATGAGGAAAAGCGACAGGCTTCCAACTCCAGAATTACAAATTTTAGTCTGTGTTTTACCTCGTCCTACCAGCTGTCAACAGAAATGGGGCGTTAAAAATACCCTGACAGTTCAGGAGGCACAGAAGATGGTATATGAGAAGGTAACTACACAGTTGTGTCTGTAATACCGACCAGCATCACACGATGTGTAACGTCACACACAAGTCAAGCTGGAGACACAGCGAGACACCACACAGACCCATCTGTCTGTGGGGGGCCAGCACCCACCTTTCAGGCCGTGCTTGAGGCAGTGCTCCAGCACCACGAAGAACTGCTGCAGGGGCGGGAAGTCGGAGTCCAGCGTCCGGCCCAGGCTGAGGGCTGCCTGGATGAGGGTTCTGATACTGAGCTTCATCATGTTCATCAGGTTGGCGCGCTCCTCCATGGCCTGGCACCGCGCACCTGGGCGGGGAGGGACACGGGGGGGAGAAAGAAAAGCTGGTTTTAGAAACGCACTCCTCCGGATCCCTCACAGCGCTGACAGGAGCGGGGCCTGCCCGCCTGGGTCTCCATCTTGCCGAGGTGAACGGCCTGAGAAGAGCCGGGTACAGGACATGGGCCGGGTGAACCCCCCGCAACA